ATATATATATATATATATATATATATATATATATAATGTGTATAATGTCTAGAATGTATCATGTGTGCAAATTTATGGAGTGTGTATATGTCTAGAATGTATCATTTGTGTGTATGTATATGTAAAGAGTGTATTGTATATGTAAAGAGTGTATAATGTGCATATGCAGTGTGTTAATGTCTAGACTGTATCATATGTGCATATGTATGGAGTGTGTTTATGTCTAGAATGTATCATGTGTGCAAATGTATGGAGTGTGTTTATGGGTGTATCATGTCAGTTTGTGTATATACATGTATATGTAAAGACTGCATCGTGTGTGTATATGTATAATGTGCATATGGAGTATGTTAATGTCTAGAATGTATCATGTGTGCATATGTATGAACTGTGTATCAATATATTCAAAATAGTATGTCTGTGTATATGCATAATATGCATATGTATGGAGTGTGTATATGGGTGTATTATGTCAGTCTGTGTATATACATGTATATGTAAAGAATGTATAATGTGCATATGGAGTGTGTTAATGTCTAGAATTTATCATGTGTGTATATACATATATATAGTCTGTGTATATACATGTATATATGAACAAATATGAAGCCTTGAACACCAGAGACCCGGGTTCTATCCCAGATGCAGACAGGAGTAAATCATGTGTGTAACTGTATCATGTCAGTCTGTGTATAAACCTGTATATGTAATGAGTGTATCATGTGTGTATATGTGCAAATGTATATGTCTAGAATGTATCCAGTGTGTAAATGTATGGAGTGTGTATATGTCTAGAATGTATCATGTGTTCCAATAGCTCAGTGGGTAAGTCATTCGCCTTGCACACCAGAGACCCGAGTTATATCCCCGACGCAGACAGGAATATATCATGTGTGTAAATGTATAAGGTGTATCATGTCAGTCTGTGTATATATATGTATCATGTGAGAATAGACATAATGTGTATATGTAAAAACTGTATATATGTATAAAGTGCAAATGTATGTGTGTATATGTCTAGAATGTATCATGTGTACATTTGTATGAATGTATATGGGTGTATCATGTCATAAATGTATATGTAAAGAGTGTATAATGTCTAGAATGTATCATGTGTGTATATGTATGGAGTGTGTATATGGGTGTGTATCATGTCAGTGTGTGTATGTATGTGTATA